TCTGTTACTTTATTCTTATATAACTTTGAGCAAGTTATTTGAACCTTAATCTCATCACTGGTATAATGCTTGTAATAATAATAGCTATCTCATAAGTTAGGAAAATGAACTGAAAATTCACTAAATTAAATGTTAAATATCTAGAGAAGTGCCTAGTATATAATGAGCACTCAGATAGTATTTATTGTTATTAGCTACTATTATGATCTTCTTAATAAGTCCTGTCAAATATTATTTCAAAAAGTCTCTGTTTCTCTCCCTTCCTTTTCATTTTTAGTTTTATCATTCCATTTAAAGTGGAAAAGAGGTCAGGTGGGGCGGCTCGTGCCTGAAATTCCAAGTCTTTGCTATTATTGTGAACAATGGTGCAATAAACATATGTGTGCATGTGTCTTTATACTAGAATGATTTATAAACCTTTGGGTATATAATCAGTAATGGGATTGCTGGGCCAAATGGTATTTCTAGTTCTAGATCCTTGAGGAATGGCCACACTGTCCTTCACAATGGTTGAACTAATTTACACTCCCACCAACAGGGTAAAAGTGTTCCTATTCCTCCACATCCTCTCCGGCATCTGTTGTTTCCTGACTTTTTAATGATCGGCATTCTAACTGGTAATCATGCCTTTTCACAAGGTTGCTGGAAATGAGATAATGCCGTCACATACTTAGAACAATATTTGCCACGTGGAAGGTGATCAGCCAATGCTAGCCAGTATTATGGATGGGCTGCTTAAGTCTTAATCGTCCCAGAGATGCAGCTGGGTGCTGTGATCATTGAGAAAGCATATGGCAAGGGGTTCTTCTCAATACATCATTATGGTCTGACCCAATGGTAAAATTATTTCTGACCCAATAACTTGTTCAGATTTATGATCATGGTACCTAAACTTATGACCCTGAAAATGTCACAATTTATGTGAATCCCGGTTCCCTCACTTAAAAAATGGGGAAAGTGATGTTTGTTTCATGTTTTTAAATGAAAAAATAAGACAACTTATGAGATACACTTAACTCACTGCTTAAGTCTACAGATTTGAAAAGAATAAAGATCCCTTCATCAGTGGACTCTCTGAGTGGGGAAAAGCCCCTACATAACAAAGCTGATAAGGTTGGGAAATTAATTAAATCACTCGCTCATTCAAAAATACAAATGAAGCATATATGCTAAGCAATGCCCTCCTTTCATATGGAAAATAATACCTATTGACCTCAACCTGACACACATACAATTGGAGTTTGTATATACATACAACCAAGCTGTTGGTTGTGGGTGGAGAATGAAAGGCAAGAAAAACTGTTCTATGTGTGAAATGCTGCCTTCTTTGTCCCTTTTTCTCTGCACCAACATACATAATAGTTGTCATTTTCACTTCCTTAATTGACCAATTATGTTTTGGTTCCATAATGTGCCAGTCTTTGCATTTTCAGTCTGTTATCTCTTTCCCTGTGATCAAAGAACCTTCTTTTCTCTAGAATTTCCTACATGAGCAAACATTTGAGAAGTAACCACGTTATTGAACAATTACAATTACTTTTGCCAGATTAAGTTCCTTTAATATTACGTCTCTCCTGTTCTAACTCTCCTTTCTTTACCTCTCTATAGCCCAGTCTCTTATTTGCTCAATCCAGGAACATATCTCTCTTCCTTCCCCCAAATTTCCCCTCTGTCTGGAATATTACACTCTGCTTCTCTGACTAGTAAAATCTAAGCTTTGGAGACCTCGCTCAATGTGCAGCCTCCAGGAGAAATGTCCTCTAGTAAGAGGCCTTTCCCTATTCCTTTAATAAAAGTAGGTATTTTCTCTCAAGGTCTCAAAGTGTACTGTCATTACCTCTATGAAAGCACTTGCTATTCTATATTGTAATTAATGCAGTATCTGTATTTCCAAATAGACTATAACTATCTAAGGGCAGGAACTAAAGAATCTCATTTAATGTGATCATGTGTTTGCTGCACAGATAAACGAAATAAGAAGGGATTCCTGGCTGCTTCTCCCAGTCCTGTATCCCTCTGACAACTTCTTTAAGCTCTGAAGGAGTTGACCCTTCTCTGGCAAAAAACATTGAGCATGTCCCTTCCTCTCTCTGAGTATAGCTACTCGTCTTATATATCAAGGTTATTGAATGCATATTTTAAACTTTACAGAAATACCATGTTATTTAGTATTTTCTAAATAACATGGTACTTAGTATTTTCTAAATAACATGGTATTTTCTGTAAAGTTTAAAATGTGAGTGGGGCATTGGAATGTGCTCCTGTCTCTCCTATATTTTTTCTAACCAATATTTCCTCTAATTTTTAAATCCTTTCATGGAGACTTTTCAAAATTTAGGTGCGGTCATTCAGAGTCCACAGGATGGATGAATGGATATAAATATACACCATGGAATATTATGCAGCCATCAGAAATGATGAGTTCGTGTCCTTTGTAGGGACATGGATGAACCTGGAAACCATCATTCTCAGCTAACTGACACAAGAGCACAAAAACAAACACCGCATGTTCTCACTCATAGGCGGTTGTTGAACAATGAGAACACATGGACACAGGGAGGGGAGCACTACACACTGGGGTCAGTTGGGGGGAAACAGGGGAGGGACGGTGGGGGGTGGGGAGATGGGGAGAGATAGCAAGGGGAGAGATGCCAGATGTAGGTGATGGGGAGGAAGGCAGCAAATCACACTGCCATGTGTGTACCTATGCAACAATCTTGCATGTTCTTCACATGTACCCCAAAACCTAAAATGCAATAAGATAAATAAATAAATAAATGTAGTTTCCCAACAAAAAAATTTTAAAAAATTAAAATAAAATATAGTAACTTTATTGCAAAGTGAAAGAAAAAAAAATGAACAAACGTGTGACACAGTATTCTGATCAAGCCTTAAGTGTGTTTTAGCCTGTTTATGTACTTTTTATTTGACACATAGCAGAGAGAGATTTAAACTATCTCTTATTGGCCTCTTCCCTGCATCTTAGCTTGGTTTCTGTCAGTGTTTCCCAACATCAAGAAATAAGGACTCATCTGTGATATCAGACCTAAACTCTAAGAGAAAAGGATTTGGGGCCTTACGTCTGAAAGTCAGATGACCCCTGCTTACCACCCAACTCAACCCATCATTTCCCCTCCCCCTACAGCATGCAGCCATCCATTTCTTCAATGGAGGTGACAACCTCATTTCTGTATTTCCAGTCACCTCTCACCCAAAATGAACATGTAGGCTGGCTGTTCTCAAGAGACCACTCCACATAGTTTTGAAGAGCTCTGCAGCTCTGCTCACTTTTTCTCCATCGCAGCAGATCCAAAAGTGAAAAAAAAAGGAGGGGATTGGGGTGTTACCATCCCTGCCACCCCCACCAGCACAACAGAGCTGTTCAGAGGTTTAGTCTTCAAAGCCTCTTAATTATCATGCAAACTCTATGTTTCTTTTAAAAAAACATACACACAGTATCCATGAGAATTCTTAGCAAAAAAGATGAAGAATAGGCTAATTCTTAGGCACGTGTTAGGTGGTGCATGTTCTTTGCTCACAGGAATATCTAGTAGGATGCACAGAAAGTCTTAGTGAAATATTTCTGTTTACAAATTGAGGAAAGATGGGATAAACCCGTGTCAAGACAACATTTTTTGAAATTAGAATTTTACTTTTTTTTTCTGTCAAAAGCTACCAATTCCAGAATGAGAGAAACCTCAGTATCTTAGAGACTATTTACACATTACGTATGTGGGACCCGCTCCCTGGGTATCCCTGAGGGGGCACCAAAGAGCCATTATTATTATTTATTTATTTATTTATTTATTTTAGAGCACAGGAGTATAAGAAATTCCTGGTGCCTGTTTCTGGGCTATTTAAATCCCAGTAGACATGTTCTTTTGTACAGACCTCCTGGGATCAACCCAGCTCATAGGGAGCTGGGGATCTGTATTACATTATCACTTACTGGTTTTGGTCAAATCTAAGGACAAACATATGAAGAAGCAGAGCACGTAGCACTGGTTCAGGAGGTTCAAGCAACATTATCAGATTCTTGTTGAGAAACAAATGGTTGTTACTCTGCCACCGCGTACTGCAGGCAATTCCTAGGCACCTAGAAAGGTCCACGCTAGCAACAGAGAACATAATATCAGCTGCTGGACTGGGACTCCTGGGCTCACTACGTTGTGTCTACAGATTCTCAGGTTGCCGTTTAAACTTCCTGAGTTTCTCTGAGAAGCAAACCAATGTTATGGGTAATGAGGCAGAATTTACTGGTACAGTTAGTGCCCCCTTATCCACAGTTTTGCTCTCCATGGTGTCAGTGACCCACAGTCAACCACAGTCTGAAAATATTAAATAGAAAATTCCAGAAATGAACTCCTAAACGTAAAATTGCACGTGGTTCTGAGGAGCATGATGAAATCTCGTGCCGTCCGCTCCATCTCACCCTTCAATCATCCCTTTGTCCTGACCATCCAGGCTGTATATATCACACACACTTTAGTCACTCGGTAGCTGTCTGGGTTATCAGACAATTGCAGTATTATAGCGCTTGTGTTCAAGTAACGCCTGTTTTACTTAATAATGTAAACATGTGAGAGTAGTAATGCTGGTATATTTTTATAATTGTTCTGTGCTATTATTAACTATTGTTAATGTCATTAACACTAAATTTATACATTAAACTTTATCATAAGTATATACGTATAGAAAAAAAACACAGCGTATATAGGGTTCAATACTATGCAGTTTGAGGCATCCAATGAGAGTCTTAGAATGTACCCCCTACAGATAAGGGGGGACTGCTATACAGGCAAGTGTCCATAAACCACACCCCCCAGCACGCAGATAACAGAGCATATGCTTACTGGGACATATGCTCTTGAAAGAGACAGCACAATGACAATAACCCATAATCCAGACTAATCCATGGGTCATATTTTTATAAGACATCACTATTCCATAGTACTGCTTCTAATTGGGATAACGATTATCCACTCACTCACATGACTTACCTTCTCAAAGTCTCGAAGAGCCTGGGTCTGTACCTGAGGGGGTTTCTCAAATGCTCTCAAGGAATGCGTCTGCACAAAGGGGACCTTTTCCCCACTTCTCCAAATCTGTGACTGCACTGGAGGGCCTCGATCTTCACTGCCACGAAGGAAAGCTGTTGGTAAAACAGAACAACAACAACAAAAGATTTATCTAATAATGGCACTGGGATCATTGTGACTCGCACATTCCCGCAGAATTCAGTTTCCACAAAATACAAACTCAATCTAGGCCACATAGAAGCAGTTCACATAAAGTAGCCTGTGGCAAATCATATTAATAGCCATCCCCAGTGAATCAAACTAGTTTGCGTCCATACAGCTTTGCAGTGTGATACTCCTGCCATCAAGAAGTGAAGCCTGTTTCCCCAACTCTTGAATCTGAGTCCGCAAACTGGCTAGCCTTGACTGGCAGAATATAATAAAAAGTGCCCCTGTCTGACTTCCAGAGACTAACTTTGAGAGGCCTTGCATTTCTGTTCTTGTCTTATTAGCATCCTAAGACAATCATGCTTGGAAGAAGTTGGTCTACCCCATTGGAAAATGAAAAGCTGTTCAGGGAAGAGAAGTTGCCCAGCCGACAGTCACCTGACAGACATGTGAGCAAGGCTGTATGAGACCTTCAGCCCCAGTCAAGCCATCAGAAGATCGCAACCAGTTGAGTGATCCCAAGTGAGACCAGCAGCAAAAATGCCCAGTTTCCCAAAACAGAATGTGAGAAATAATACATCATTGTAGTTTTAAGCCAGGTGTGGGCAAACTTTTTCTTAAAGGACCAGACAGTGTTTTAGGCTTGTGGGTCACAGCATGTCTGTCACAGGTACTGAACTCCACCCTGCAGCACAGAGCAGACACAGACGATCTGTCAATGAATGAGTGTGACTGTGTGGCTATAAATCTTCAGTTACAGAAATCGGCTGTTGGTCCATGGGCTGTAGTTTGCTGATTCTGGTTTTAAGTCACTAAGTTTTGGGATGGTTTGTCACATAACAATAGGTAACCAAAAGAGTCTAAAGGAAAAAACCAAGCTACTAGCAAAGTATTTCTACAAGTATCTCTACAGAGACTTTTTCAGGTTACTATTTAGTAATGGTAACAGTTGTAATAACCGACATATTTAAAGCACATTACATGTTACAGAATAGTTTCACATGAATTATTTCATTTATGAAATTGCTGCAACCAGTGAAATAGACATAAGTGATTATTAAAGCCATTTTGCTGATGAATAAGTAAAGGTTCAGAAAGTTTGCTTGTCCAAGATCACATTGCTAAAAAGTGGCAGAAGCAATCCCATATTTTCTCCACCTATCTTCCTTAGCAGTAGCTACTACTATGCTATTTTAACAACTAAAGGGATTGCAATAGGTCTGAGAGTGGGGAAAACAGGCAAAGAGGCAGAGACTCAATCATTCAATTAACCAATGGAAGCATTGCTTTGGGAGAACCTAGTGAAGTCTAAACTGCAAAAAACCCTATGCTTTTGAGAAGTAACATTGTAAAAGAATGAGAAATCAGAGCCTCTGTCAAACAAAGGACATAGAGGACCTCGTGTTGGGGCAGGGTTGGAGTCGTTGCCTACCTGAGTTACAGACCCACGTGGACAACATAGAAAGCTGCACACTTTTTGGCTGACAGAAGGAAATAATGAACATTTATTGTGGAACTATTTTTTAAATGAGAAAGAATGACAGTCATGGCAAAGCATTAAGCTCTATAGACAATGTCAGGGCAAGTAAGAGCAAAACAAGCACCAGGTAATTTCCTTGCTGTTATCTAGACACTTGAACAAAGGAGATCCAAGGCAGCAAGAGGCAAAATGCCAACGCATGCTTTTCTTCCTTTCTCTCTTTCTTTCTTTCTCTTTTCTTTCTTTCTTTTTCTTTCTTTCTCTTTCTCTTTTTCTTCCTTTCTCTCTTTTTCTTTCTTTTTTCTTTCTCTTTCTCCCCTCCTCTCCTTCCATCCATCCTTCCTTCCGTCCTTCCTTCCTTCTGCCCATCCTTCCTTCCTTCCCCCATCCCTCCTTCCGTGCCTTCTTTCCTTTGTTCTGCCAACTTGCCAGAAAAAGCACAAGAAAAAGCACCCAGATGCTTAGTCAACTTCTTAGAATTCTTTTTTTTTTTTTAATGTTCGGAAAAGATGGAAATTCATTTCTGCTAAAGAGAAAGAAAAAATTTGAAGACAGGGTGAAAGTGAACAGACCCATTATAAGAAAGAAACAAAAATTTATATTCTCTCTGCAAGGAAACGAGAGAGAGAGAGAGAGAGAGAGAGAGAGGAAAAAAATTTCCAGGATTCTAATGTACCAAAGGGATCTCCATTTTTTTTTGTTTGTTTGTTTTCTTCTGAAAATTGCCCCAAAAGAACAAAGAGAACATCTTGGCTAATTCATTGGTGATGTTGTAAGGAAACAGAGAGAAATGAAGGAAATGAAGAATTACTGCTGCAGATAATATACAGCCTTGAGGAAAGAAAGGCTTTTAAGATTACAGATACAAAGGCTATTTCTGTATTCTGGAATAAAAGAAAGTCTGATGCAGGGAAAAGGGAAGTTAGAAAAACTGGAAAACGAAAAAAAGAAGAAAGAAAAAAGGGATTGGAAAGACACTGGTGAATAGAAAGATGAAAAAGGTGAAGAAGAAAATGATGAGAGTCAATAGGGTGGTTTTAAAAGAGGCTTTTTGTTTGTTTGTTCTTGTTTGTTTTTTGCCTAAAAGCATTTAACTTCCCATTGCACCACTGATTTCAAAGAAAAAAAAAACTGAAATGTAAGATTGTATGATTTGTTTTTAAACTGAACACTGTATAATGTCTTTTTATTTTTTGCAAAATAAACGTAGTATCCAATGTGCCGTCAGATAACCCTCTCCTTAACGGTGGTTTCAGTAGCCACTAACCTTGCCTGGTACTGTTTGGGGGTTTAAACTGGAACAGAAATTTAAAGCAGGTTTTATTGGTGCATACCACAATTGATTACATATATATGGAGATACCATTTTTTCCCTCTTCAATTGTTTTTCATGCAGCTTACCCAACATAATTTTCTGTAGTTGTACACTACTTTATGATAGCAAATAATAGTAATAAAATAATTATGATGATGTTGCACCTGTTTTGGTGATATTCTGAATATTTCTAAGTAAATGCGAAATTTTAAATTAAAAGTAATTAGAGGCTGGGTGCAGTGGTTCACACTTGTAATCCCAGTACGTTGGGAGGCCAAGGTGGGCGGATCACTTGAGGTCAGGAGTTCAAGACCAGCCTGGCCAACATGGCAAAACCCCATCTCTACCAATAACACAAAAATTAGCCAGGTGTGGTGGCAGGCACATGTAACCCCAGCTATTCAGGAGGCTGAGGCAGGAGAATTGCTTGAACTTGAAAGATGGAGGTTGCAGTGAGTCGAGATGGCACCACTGCACTCCAGCCTGGGCAACAGAGCAGGAGTCTGTCTCAAAAAATATAAATAAATAAATAAAGATTAGAAAAAATTATTTCTTCCACAATAGGTGAAATTAAATATGCTACTGAGGGGAAGATAATTAGATAAAACAGAATAATAATACATTACAGTTAGATTGGTGGGTATGAGAGTAGTGCCTTTGAAGCTTGGATTTGAATCTTGACCACTTGCTAATTGTGGGAATTTAGGCAAATCTCTTAATTTTGCTGATTTATTATCTCTGCAAAAACAGAGATAATAATATCTGCTTTACCGACCTGTTACATGGATTAAATAAAATAACACATAAAAGCACCTCGCCACATGTCTTATATGTAGTAAGCATTTTACACATTCCCCTCACATTTTCGCTTCAGTCCTTCAATTTTTGCCTCAAAATGCAGAAGATTGACATTTAAAATGTTGAGCATCGTAACCCTTGGAATTAGCGGATTTAACACACAATTTCAAATACTAATTTTAAGTGATTCTGAAATCCTTAACTTACTCAAATTAAAAACTTTTTTCCAAATTGTGCACATAAACAATCTTTGCTTCAAGGCTGCTATGAAAAAAGCAAATAACTTAGCAAGGAAGTAAAACCCTCTTTGTGAAAAATAGACCCCAAAATAATGTTATCTTCCCTTTGGTTTTGCAACTCACGTAGATCTCTGGCTAATGTAAATGCAGTAATAATTGTGCTGTTATTATGGATACATTAATAGTAAAAATGAGTAAGATACTGAGTGTTTATTCCCTGACAGCGTCTGTGCTAAGACTTTTTCTCAATCTCACCTATGAGATTAACATTATTATTATACTCATTTTATTTACTTATTATTTTATTTCTTTTTAAGTTTTTTGAGACTGAATCTCACTCTTTCACCCAGGCTGGAGTGCAGTGGCAAGATCTCGGCTCACTGCAACCTCTGCCTCCTGGGTTTAAGTGATTCTCCTGCCTCAGCCTCCCGTGTAGCTGAGATTATAGGTGGGGGCCACCATGCCCAGCTAATTTTTCTATTTTTGGTAGAGATGGGGTTTCACCATGTCGGCCAGGCTCGTCTCAAACTCCTGACCTCAGGTGATCCTCCCACCTCAGCCCCCCAAAATGCTAGGATTACAGACATGAGCCACTGAGCCTAGCCTATTATACCTATTTTAATGGTGTATTAAGGTAGGTATTTCATTTTAGTAACATAATTTATTTTAATCATTGTATAAGTGAGCTTAGCCTTGCAATTACAGAATCATTAAAAGTATGAAGAGTTCACATAAGCATCTGTTATGATTTGCTGTACTGTGCTGCCTCTCAGTACATAGAATTACATCTAGCTTATAATTCTCAGTGTGAAATTGCTACAGTAGTATGTGTAAATTTGGAAATTCACAAAAGTTTGACGATATTGCCATGATGAACTTAAAGAGGCCATAATTCAAGAGAATTATGATCATCAGAAAACCAAGAATTGGCCAGGTGCCAATTTCTCCCACACATTTTGGAAAGCTGAAGTGGGTGGATCTCTTGAAGTCAGACATTCAAAACCAGCCTGGGCAACAGAGCAAGACCCCCATTTCTGAAAAAGCATTAAACATTAGGCATATGTCTCTAGTCCCAGCTACTCAGGAGGCTTAGGTGAAAAAATAGCTTGAGCCCAGGAGTTTGAAGTTGTAGTGAGTTATGATCACACCATTGCACTGCATCCATAGCGAGAGAGTGAGACCCTGTCTCAAAAGAAAAACAAATGAATAAAGAAAAGAAACAAAGAATTTGACAGGGCAAGACCTACAGCATCCTTACCTGCTGTGTGACTTGTTCTGGGTACCATCTCCCCATCATCTTCTGCAAAATAATCTCTGTGGAAAGAAACACATCATTAATTAATGAGTACCCCACAAGGCCCCCAATCCCAGGGATCGAGGAGGAGACACCTACCTATTTGCCATTTCTATTTATCTCTGCAAGTATTTACTAAGCTTCTATTATGTATCAGGGACAGTGTCAAGTGCTGGGGATACAAAGGCAAACGCCACAGAAGAGTTCCTATTTTCAATAACTACATGAGAGCCAGCCATTAAAATAATTTCACAAGCATTGACTACTATTGCAGTAAATGGTATGAAGGAAACTGCAGAGGGAACTTAACTAGCATAGAAACCCAGAGAAACTCAGGGAAAGGAACATTTAAACATAGATGGAGAGGATGTCAACCAGGTGTAGAATGGGAGTGGATGAGTATTCCATCACAAGAGAACAGCAAAGGCCCTGAGTCAGAGCGGACTCTGGTCTGTTGGAGGAAGAAAGAAAGCCCATGTTGTAACCAGGCCACTCAGGGCCTTGTGGTATGGGGTAAGGCCACCGAGTTTAATGTGAAGAGCTGTGGGGAATCAATGAAAGATTTTAAATAAGAAAAGAATGATAATGATCACATTTAAATTTTAGATCGGTCATTCCAGCTAGCTGCATTCTGGCTCTACACAGTGAGACTGTGGAGGAACAAAAATGGATGGTGAGAGTCTATATCCCAAATAGGAAGTTGTGATCGATTAACAAGGGAAATTTTAAGAATTCAAGATCTGTTTAGAAAGTAGAGTTGACAGAGAAACCTTGAAGAACAGATCAAGTTTATGAGTGGAAATGTTAATAACACCATGATCCAGTAGCAAGAGGTGTATCTGTTCAGCATAGCAAATACCACCATCCCTAGCAGAGCGGGGACAATAAATATCTTAAAATATAGTCAACAGATACTTGTCAAGCAAAGGCTGGGTTTTTAGGCCCTGTTTTAAGTTCCGCAAATGTAGCAGTGAGCAAAACAGACAAAAATCCCTGCACTCACGGAACTTTTACACTACAGGGAGACAAATAAATATATTGTGTAGTAGCAGTTGGGAATAAATGCTATAAAATAAGTAAAAGGGGGAACATGGATAGAGAGAGCTGGGGGTAGGAGGAGGTAGAGGGGATTGCAATTTTCAGTAGACAAGGTCGCTCTAAGAAGCCATAAGAATAGGCACGGGAGTCTTTAGGGAAAGAGTCTTCTAAGCAGAGAACATAAAATGCCGAGGCCCATAAGAGGGAGCATACTACTTAGTGACTGGGTGCAGCAAGAACGTGGTGAGTAGCAGGACGTCAGGTCAGGGAACTAATAGGAGGACTGGCGGGGTGCAGACTGTTGGAAGCCTTTCAGGACATCAAGAGGCATTTAGCCACCAGGGTCTTGTGAATAAAAAAGAAAGACAGACTCAGCGACTAGTGTTTTAAAGGGGGGCTGGCTACCGTCTTGGCAACTGACTGGGTGATAGAGAAGTCAGAAACAGATGATTGCAATAACCCTACAGAAAGGTGCTTTCAATAGGTAGCTTATTCTTTAAACTCTTGGGTGCTCCCAAGAATTCTGTAAACAGAGATTTAGAGGACTTCTCCTGTTAAAAGCCAGAAGATACTCACAGGGAGGCAGAGAAGGATCTAGCCTTTGCTTGGAAATTGGTGTTTTTTCTTCCCTGCCTCAGGGCTGGATCTTGGCAGAAATCTTTACTTTGTGAATTCCCAGATGGACATGAACATACCAGACAGGGCACATTGGGCTACACATACCACCTGACAATTATTTGGTATCCAAAAGTAGATCACCAGCTTGTGATTCTTCCAGGCCCCCTGCCTCTTTCCCTTCTCCTTCTCCTTAAAAGCTTCCCTGACAGTATACAATGCCAAAGAAGAACGAACTACCTATGGACTCCCCTCTGTTGAGGTAAACAAAGAGAAGGATGTCAAAACTATCAACCAGAAAAATGTCTTAAAATTTTCGTGGGGAAAAATTTATACTTAGCGGGGGCTATTCACTGAGCATTTTTGCCTAGTCCACAGACGAAGGTGGCTGCATCTGCTGTCAGGAGCAAGGTCAACCCTCAGGCCAAATTCAGCCCATCCGACATGTTTTATTTAGTCCACAGAAGGTTGACCCATTTCTAACTGCTCTTGGGAAATGAGTGGGTCTACCAACACTGGGCCTGCCTTCCCACACAGGGGGATAACTTGTCCCTTTACACAGGACAGGGATGTGTTTTCCAGTTTGCCACAGCCCCTGCCACTCCTTGTCCTTGTCCTCCCTCATTCACTTAATTACAATACTTGGCTGGCGTGTTGCAGGCTTCTGATGCTGTTACCCCAGTACAGATCAAGTGCAGATGGAATTTCATTTCTGCTTTATTAAGACACAGTCTTGAGGAACCCATTGGCTTCGACACACAATTAATTTGTGGTGACAAGCTACTAACTGCCTTATATGTCACTTTCACCTCTCTGGGCATTAGTTTTCTCTAATATTTATAAAAGAAGGGCATGCATTTCTAAGGCCCCTGCAGTAATTATGAAATTCTACTCTAATAGATGCTTAAACATAAAACCCATTTTAATGCTGTCCAAGGATCCAGGGTACCTTCCAGACATGATCTCACTCAATCTTCTCTGCTCTGCAGATTGCACATTATAGGTCAAGAGCAAGCTACAACATGGCAATACATATCAGTCCTACCAGACATCTCACCCTTCCCGTTTTGCCCACATCCACTCTGAGCACTCTGCCTGCCCTATATGAATCAATAACTGGAAGGATAGAGAGGTCACTTTAGATAGGTACGGAGTTAATAGGCATTCCCGCAGTCTCTCAGGAGATTTTTCAGAAATCACTTTAGCTCTATTAACAGCTCGAGTTCCCTCTCTGATTGCCAGAGAGAGGGGCTCACTCAGCTGCTCCACAGGTTGGAAAGGAAACCGATGCTCCCCAAGGGAAGGGGCTCAGAGTGGAGAAACACAGAGTATAAGCCTGGGGGGTTGCAATTTGTGACATTTGATAAACCAAAGTGCAAGGAGAATTGGGGTATGGTAGACACCAAGGATGGACACACACACACACACACACACACACACACACACACACAAAGTGGTAATATATGTTGGTACATTCTTCCATATTACCCAAGTTCAGAAAAAATATTTATATCCTTGTCCTAGTTTCTCAAATTCACGTGTCTCTAGTTTTTTTAAATATCAATCCATGAATGACTCATGCTCAGCTAATATGTGGTTCCCCAGGCCACTTTTAGCTCTCCTACATTTCCACGTATAATCTTTCTCCCACGATGCTTTTACCTAAAATTTTGCTTTTTCTGTATAAACGAACTATACTTTTCCTCAATGTCTTACCTTGTCTTTCTCCCCACCTCATCAATCTGCTAGTGCCAATACCAATTCCACTAAAATCACATATATTAATATTCTCACCAAGACATTATTTTGCTTTTGGAAGTATGAAGCATTTTCCAAGTATAACCTACTCACAAGCTGTTTCATCTGCTTGATTTCTTCATGGTATATCACTCATATTTTCTTGATTTGCTGCAAGTAGCTATTAAGATGTTAAAGTCAAATAATACATCAACATTCAATATCCCATATTACTTGCTTTTTCTATGGTTTTCTAGTGTGATTAAGTTGAGAATGATCAGGAAATAATTGCTTCTCTGAAGGCCGTCTACAACTCCCTGATATTCTGACACTCTCAAACTGTGCTGTGATGATTTCTTCCAGTAATTTTCTAAGACTGGTAGTTTCATGTACGGCCAGGGTTATCTAAAACACTCAGTTTTGCTTTACTTAAAACTAGCCACTGATAGAGCTTCCTTCAAGATGCAAGCATTGCATTGGTCCTACTAGTCTAGTTTCTCATAACATTGTGGGGATGGGTAGACACTTGGGTTTCTTATTCCTTTGCAGTCTGCAGAGAGATATTTTCTATAAGGCAGGTATAGACCTTCCTCCACGAACTGTTATCTCTGGTATTATTTTCTTACACTTTAGCCTGTCTAATTTGTGGACTAAGAGGAGCAACAGATCATGTGACTGAATCATCTCATTCAAAACCAATGACAAGATGGTAATCATCATGACAAGCAGGTTCTATGAGTCTTTGAACAGTGTGAAATATTTGTATTCCAGGACCAAAATCACCACTAAAACTGTCCCTAAGGTACTAATGCCTGCCTGGTCTCCATTACTTTCATCTCTCCAGTCTGATCTACCAAAATAATTAATTTAAGGTTATTTCTTCCCATATCAGTGTCTAAACTCCCAAAGGAATGGTGATTTTCCGGCCCTCTCTTCGGGCTATTCACATACACTCAATTTCTTCTGCGACCCACACAGTCTGGCCCTTCTACTTCATCACTAACCACCACCCTAGCTTAACATGTCTAAGCCTGGAGACCAGGGCCTTCTCTCAGACGCATTTTCTATCTTTCAAATTTCATTTTATATGGTTTTCTTATTATGAACAAAAACTCAGAAGGAGAAAAAACAATCTGCTATAGTAATACCTAGAGCGAAAACCTGGGCCTTTATTGCTATTTTTAGGGTTTATAATTCCATCATATAAACATTTATTGAGCAGTTGCTTATATGCCAGGTGCTAGACATCCAAAGGTAAAAAACTGTATACACCCTGTGCTCAAAGTCCTCAGAATCTATTGAGGGAAGCAGGCACATGGTTCAAAGAGATATTTATTAGAAAAATTAGATTTGACAGAGATTTCAGAACATAAATGAGATAGCAATTAATTTTGTCCTGATGGGGAGTGGGCTGGGGCAGGGTGGCCAGGAGAGGGGTTCTAGGAAATTTACAGAAAACAGAGAACACTGAATCTAGGTCCTGAAGGATGGGTATAAATACACAAGGAAACACAACAAAGACCCAATGATAGGAAAATGAACAGTGTGCCCAGGGGGCTTTCATTTTGTTTTCCCCTTCCCAACCGCTCCCCGCATCTTCCCACCCCCAGCCTGAGGAGCCCTAAACTGT